AAGACTTTGTAAATTTTCTCGTCACAGAAATCTTCATAAAGTGCAATGCCATGGAAACAGGAAAAACAACTTCATCGAAAAATCATCAAAACATGATACTATGGCAAGGTGATGTTGCGCAGTTTATGCTTCACTAGTGTGATAACCCTGACAGTTTTCTCTTTCAGAGTGCTCGCAATTTCTCAATTCAGAAATTAGAGAAAGTGAGACATCCGGATATGCTATTTCCCTAATTTTGTACGATAAGGATAGCTTATAAGCAAACAAAATAGTATTTTCACTGATGTTTATCCATCGTTTGCCTAATAGCCGCACACAAGCAGCAATCCTCAGTATCGAACGGCGCTTTGCCAAGGTGATATCTTCAACGTAGTCACCTTTTGCCTCAGCCATAGCCTTTGACGAGATCCAAACGAATCCGTTATCAGCGATAACTATTTGAATGCCATAAATCTCGCATATGTGCTTTTTTTGTGACCTAACCAAATCTGGCCACACTCTCAACAAGATACCCTGTCCACATTTGGCAACGCTTACATGTCCTGTATGTAGCTCTACCTCTCCTTTATTACGAACGTGTTGCACCTCTGCGCTAAGTAAATCGCCTACAGTAAGATAGTCCCTCATAGCAATCTCGTCATCTAAATTTTTACGTCTCAACTCGCCGCTTGGTAGGATCATATTGTTCAAATGCAATATTGCGGGAAATCTGTAGTTGATGTCCAACTTCCAGATAGCCCTCCGAATACTAGTGACACGCCCGATCATAAAGTCAGCTGTTTTCGGCCTGTACTTGGCTTTATAGGGTGTTACAATATATAGCTTGTTGTACCGTGATTTCAAGCCAGACACAGTGGCCAACAGTCCATTTAAAGTCGTCCGCGTCCCAAACCCGCCGAGGGCATTTACATCCTGAGATAAGAGCTGTCCACAATGCACAAAATTCAAGCTACTGAGATGTTCACTTCTGCTCAAAGCAGGTTGCCAAGGAGGTGATGGAGGCCCAGTGACAACAATAGACATGTGATCCCCTAAAAATGTGATGTTTCGCTTGGCAAGTAG